ATCAGCGTTTAGTGTTCGCACATTCCTTGCTTACAATATTGTCTTCTTAAGGTACAGTGCTACTCAAAATATGGTCAGCAAATCGGCACTGGTTCTCAACATTTAGTTATATGTCTTGATGTGGTAAGTACAGAAATTGATAATGAGCATTTAGCATGTTTTATATTAATTGGACAGAATAATTGTGTGTCTATTAAATCTCATAACAAATTTGGGGGTCTACTTTATATCGCTTTGTCTTTTTAAATTTCATTTTTTAAGTAATTCATTTTTTATCTTATTTTACAAATTTGTCCATGACAAATTGGGGGAAAACTAGGCCCTCAACACAGATAGTTTGAGAAATACTATTCTAGAATGTTATAAAATGATTGATAAATAGAAGCCACCTTTAGTTTTCTCAACTGGAAAATGGATTTAATAATAGTATTTACTTCCTGAGGCTGGATCTGAGAACTAAGGGAAGGTAGATGTATGAAAAGTGCTTAGCACAGTTTCTGCTTCTGGTAAGTGCCCCCAAAACACTAGTTCTTGTTATTATGGAACAACAAAGACTCAAAGAGGTACCATTCTCCTCTGAGAAGGTGACATTTATGTGCACATGGGAGTTTCTGTTTGTAATGGTTGTTCAGTGAAGGCCTAAATCTACATATAACCTTCCTCTGGGATCAGACCACCTGGTTTCATAGACCAAGAGTTCATTTTCCATTGACTTGCATGAAGGGACCAACATTAGGCTTTGGGTCTTCCCTGACCTTTCAGTGTAACTACTCCGCTATTATGGTATGGAAAGCCCTTCTGAATGTTTCGTTTGTTTTCCTCAAGTCATTAAATTGTGTAATGGTTACAGGTTTCAGCAACTGAATTATTCTGATCTTTATTGTTTAGTAGGGACTTGTATTATTTGGGGGCCAGGATAAAATGACTTGTCACTCAAGGATGGCAAGTATAGAGATGTAAACTTCAGTTTTAAAAGATGCATCACTTGAGGTGGTGTTTCATAGTACAAAGTGAAAAATACGCAATCTTTTCTATTCAAAGTGGCCAAACAATTTTTCTAAAGGTCTATTTTGGCTAAATGTCAAAATCAAAGGTCCCTGCCATTTCAACAGGCATCCTGGTGGCCAAAGAAGGCTGCTGGCTATTTCAGAAAATAATTGCTTAATTAAGACAAGTGTAACCAAAAAGTTTTCCAAATCCTTTTTGAATTATAATATAGAACATAAAGAACATTGCAATAGAGTGCAATAGAGAACATATCATTTTATACCCAGACTAACTTGGGTTCAAATCATGGTTTTGCTACTTAGTAGTTGGACCCATTGGGTAAGTTCTCACTCTCTTTGAGCCTCAGTTTCCTAATCTATAAAATAGGGGATATAAGATCTACTGCATAGAGTAACTGTGAAGATTAAGTGAGATAAGTTATAAGGGGATAATGTTTGTGCATACTAAGTACTCAAATATTATTAGCTCTCTTCTTTTTCTTTATCCAGTTAGTAAAATTCAATTATTTTCTTTAAAATAGTAAATTTGATAAATTCAGGAGAGACTCTATCAATAGAACCAGATTTTATAATATAATAAAATAATATGTCTGTATTTATTTTTAAAAACACGCATTGAATTTGGCAGACTCAGTGAAGAACAGACTGTTTAAAATGTGACTGACTCTTTCCAAGGTCAAGCATCTTTAACTCCTTTCACTCTGCCTAGAACTCTTTGCTCCAGCTAGAATAACTTTCCCATGATTGTGACTTGGCTCATTCTTATTTTTAGTCCTTTGTGTTATTATCCTTCTAGAAATGACCTTCTGATGCCTTCTTGCCAAACCCTATCCTCCTTTAAAATTGTTCAACATTAATGTCATCCAAAAATTATCAGAGGCCGGGCGCGGTGGCTCACGCCTGTAATCCTAGCTCTCTGGGAGGCCGAGGCGGGCAGATTGCTTGAGGTCAGGAGTTCGAAACCAGCCTGAGCAAGAGCAAGACCCCGTCTCTACTATAATAGAAAGAATTAATTGGCCAACTAATATATATAGAAAAAATAGCCGGGCATGGTGGCGCATGCTGTAGTCCCAGGCACTTGGAGGCTGAGGCAGAAGGATTGCTTGAGCCTAGGAGTTTGAGGTTGCTGTGAGCTAGGCTGATGCCATGGCACTCACTCTAGCCTGGGCAACAAAGCAGACTCTGTCTCAAAAAAAAAAAAATATGTATATATATATAACAAAAATATCAGAAAGAAAAATCTGGTTGAGTGATTCACCCCATCCATCCAGGAGCTGTATTAGTCCCTACTTGGACACATTTTCTTACTGTGATTTTGTTACTGAAAGTTTGACATTTGTCCCTAAGGCCACATCAGAAGAAAAAGGACAAATGGTTTGAGGAGGTTTATTAATTTGCCATCAAATGTTGAAGTTGGCAGAGACTTGTCTCAAAGTGCCAACAGTCCTTCTCTGAGCAGAAATACAGAGAGAGGTTTTAAAGGTTCTGGTTAATCCCATAATCCCATTTTTGGCTAAGACAATTTTGAGGCCTCCACTTAATCCCATCTTCAGCTAAAACAGTCTTGTGACCTCTGCTCCGATGAATCCCATCTTCTGTGGCACAAAGAGCAGAGGACACTACCCTGCCCCTCCTGACCACTGACCTGAGGCAGGGATGCAAGTCCTCGTTCTCCAAAAGGAGTGGGGTATGTTTTCAAGAGACATAAGACATTGTCGCCATTTTTTTCAAGCTATTTCTTTTGTTACATACTGCCCCGGTCAATATTACCCTTCCATATCTATGGGAGGAGGGGTGACTACTCATTTCCTCTGTCACAATTTCCCACATCTTTTCTATATTTTTAGATTGTTTCTTCCTATCAGATGAGACTCTAACATTCCATTTATTGAGGTTATATCGAGAACATTCAGGATCAGAGAGGCTGTCAGTTGCTCAAGGCCACATATTTTATGGCTGATTTTAAACAGGTAGCCAGTTCTTTGGGTTTTTAGTTTGGTGTTTTCATTTCATGATCCTACTACACTTAGTAGGGAAATGGTATTGCTGACTGAGAAACAGTGGGGAGCTTCAGGCATGGAAAGGCAGCTTTAGAAGATTAAGAGCAGAGGAGGGGCATAGGATGTGACAAGAGATGGGAGTAGGATGGAGAAGGGGAAGGGAGGAACAAAGGATGCCTCAGAGGAATAATCAGCTTACTCTAACCATTTCACACTATAAGAAAAAAAGAGCCAACTAAACAACAACGAAAAAGGTCTGCTTTGGTTCTATTTTGTGCCTAATAAACAACACTACTGTCACTGCCAATGAAAACAGCAACATAACTGTGCTTTTCTCCCAGCACTAACTCTAAACAATCTACTGGATTTGGGTCAAAATTATAAACTGCCAGCATGTTAAAAATAAAAACAGAAAAACAAACCTGGCATTTTCCTTAAGGGTTATAAGGGTGAATATAAGACAAGAGCCAGAGAGAAGAGTTGCTATAAAAATAACTAGTGCAAACATCCTTGAACTGATGTTTCCTATAAAAATCTGATGGCTGTGAATTGGAAAGAGTGGAGTTGGGAAGGGGAAAGGAACAGGGGATCAACTGGTGCCTGCTTATCGTCAGCTAGCTTTCATGTAAAAGTCATGGCAGGGTCAACAACAAACTAGCCAGGTGGCAACTCCAGGCCACGCTGCCATAAATAAATAGTTATGTACTAATGTCACACAATCAGAGCTAGATGCAAAGCATATGGGAAGAGAACATTCTGATGTAAATATTCAGAAAAACTATGGTTGCTGATTTCAGGATCCACTGTTGGCACTGGACTTTGAGACGCCTGAGAAAATAAAGTAGTGAAGCTTTTTAAAAATCTGGGCTAAAAAACATACTTTGAAAGGTAGAATACTTTCTTTAAAAAAAACCCTTAACCTTTGGCTTAAGAGAGTGTGACTATTTGACATAGTAATTAAGGATTACTGAGAGTTGGCAAGAGCATCAACTCTGGAACCAGATTTCAGGAGTTTAAACCTTACTCCTGCTACTTACTTATTCTCACGACCTCTGGGTCGTTCCTTCACCTTTTCATGCCTCAATTTATTCAATCTGTACAAAAGGGAGGAAGAGAAGATAACGGCAATAGTACTCGCCTCACAGGAAGTTATGAGGATTAAGTTAGGGAGCCTGTAAAACAATACCTTGTAAACACCCTGTCCATTTTTATCAAGTGGTCTTACTTAGGCTATTTATTTTACATAGGCTATCTGCTGGACGATATGTTAAGTAATCCTTTACTTGTATTATCCTATTTAATCCTAAAAGCAGCCCCATGAATTAAAAATCAGTTTTATAGACAAAGGAAATGAGGTTTCAATGAATTAAGGAATTTATCTAAGGAGGCATTGCTGAACTAAACTTCCAAATAAGGTTTTGTTCCAGATGAAAAATTTGTAACCGCTTACGTATTCTCTAAAATCTAAGCACTTTTACTTTCATTTGCTTACAATGTTAAAAGTTGAAGAAAAGAAACACAACACACGGCCTTCTAAGAACCAAGTAGATTTTTAAAAAGAGATTAAAGGAGGGGCTGATGTCCCAATGAATTGCATTAGGAAAGCGGAGATCCACTCACCGCACTTGTGGGTAAACAAAAGATTAATTCATTTCTCCAAACATTTATTGAGCGCCTACTATTTTCTGAGAGCTGAGGTTGCAAAGAAAGTAAGACACGATTTTAGGCTTTGAGTAGTTAATTATAAGGAGTGAAAGTGACAGTCTTTACTGCCAGCCGTTTGATGATGTCGGATTTGTTTAGAGCGATCCCAGTGCTTTTACTGCTCGGCTCCTGCTCGCAGAGTGGAGAGACTTTGTTCGAGCGGCGTAGACACGGTTTTTTGCAGACCCTTCCGCCTGCAGCTGCGCTAACACGGCCACGTTAGGAAGCACATTCAAATCGCGCGCTCTGGCAGTGGCTTTCCCGGGCTCAAGCTGAAGCATCGCTTGAGGCACTCGTGAGATTTGCCACCTGGCTTGTGCGCCCGTCCTCCTTAGCTTCTAGTAACCGGGAGAATGTGAACTCCACGAACATCCCTTGTCAATTCCCAGGTGGACGCTTCCCAGCACACCTGCCAGATGACTCTGGCTCCGCGCCCTTTCCGTGGGCGGCAGTTACTTCCTGGTTGGTTTGCCCTTAAGTGACATGGCGGCCAATTGCCTTCGGCCGGGCCAACTGCGGCTGCTCAGTAAACCAAGCTTGGGTAACACAGTGTACAGCCCGCTCCCGCCGCGGAGGTACCGGGTGAAGCCTGGGACTCGGCGAGTCTCCGCCCTGCCTTGCAGCTCCGGGTGTACCTCAGGGGGTACAGGGGCAAGCCAAGGAGGACGAGGACCCAGGGCTGTGCCGCTGTGTGCCTACCCCTCATTCCCTGGCATCAAGGCTGCTCGAGCCCCAGGGTGTTTTTTTTTTTTCCTTGTCCCCGCCACCTCTTGGTCCCTGGCCCAACATGATACTGACCAAAGCCCAATACGACGAGATAGCCCAGTGCCTAGTGTCTGTGCCGCCCACCAGGCAGAGCCTGAGGAAGCTGAAGCAGAGGTTCCCCAGGTAAGTGTCCATCTCCCCCCTCTCACCGCCCCTTGCCGGCAGCAGCTGTGTCTGGGCCGCCCTGGCAGCACCTAGGAACCACGTGTCACACATGAATGGGGAGGAACACCAGTGCCAGGTGCCAGATCAAGGATGGCGAAAAAGCTTTCTTCTTTCACCCGCCTTCCACACAAAACCCTTAACGGATGAGTCTGTAGCAGCCTCCCGAGGCCTTGCAATTACCTTCAAGTCAACAAATCTTTACCGAAAACTTCACATGTGTCTAGGTGATGAGTGCACATAGTAGGTGCTTTCATACATGCCCACTGCTAAGTTGGCAGATAACTAAGAGTGAATAATGGGAAGCAGGGTCCTCTCGAAGTGGAAATATTAATTAAAGGTTCCTAAGGAGGAAATGGAGGACCCTTTTCAGTTGGCCACTGGAAACAAACAAGGAAGCACAGGCCTAAAGGAGCCTCTTACTGTTCGACTGTGGCTGGCACTATTGACTATGCAAATTAGCGACTGCAAGGGTTCTCAAATCAGAGAGCCTGGTACCCCAGGGTTCCACTCTTGGGTCATTGGCCATTGAACAACCATATCTGAATGTTTCTCTCTCTCTCTCTCTCTCTCTCTCTCTATATATATATATAAATATATATACATATATACACACACGTATTTTATATTTTCCTCCCCTGCCCCTAAAACACTTCTTTTGTCAGTGATTTTAGTATTATCCAACTTTGTAAGAAATAAATCCCCAAAGAGATTTCTTTGGGAATTATATAATATAGATTCCTCATTTTAAGGATGTGGAAACTAAGACCCAAACATCATAATTATATAAAGGACCAGTTTAGGACAACCAGGTCATTTTCTTTATGCTCTGTTAAAAGTATATAATATTTGTTTACTTTTTTCCTAATTGAAGACCAAATTCAAACCTGTACCATTTTGGTTTCTTGGAACTGATCATGGTTAGCCCTAATGGAGCACTTCCCCATCCTTGATGTGTTGCCCTTGAACAAACATCAGCATAGAAATATTTTCTTGAGGAAAGAGAGGTTATGGAATAATAGATATTAAAGTACATATTGAAGCATTTGTTGAAGACCTTTTTTTGACCTCAGTTTTTTGGAGGACTTGGTTTTGATAGTCTGTAAAATGAAGGGGTCTTTCCCCAATGTTATCCGGATTTAATTTAGGGCAATATTTATTCCTTTATAGTCTTTAGGATTTTATCAGCCTTGCTAACATGTAACAAAATTGACAAATTGGAATGTAATTTTCTGTCATTAAGTCTTCCCAGTTCTGCACATGAATAGTGAAATGGATGAAGGCTGGTCAGCCATGAGAATATGTAAATTTTTCTGGACAGTTTTTTGAAACAGAGCGTATATTTTGATATTCTGTTCTCATTATGCACATGTATAACCACTTGTATTTTTACTTCTGTTTCTTTGTCTCTTTTTCTTTCTTTTCTGTAATAAATACGTTTTCTTCTCCATAATAAGTAACCACTCAGTACTCTTATCAGCACTTTTGAAAGGTACCCATCATGTGGAATACCGTGTTGTCTTGCTTATTATGCTCTTTTCTTTCTTATTCAGGATATACCCAAATATTTTTCACTTGTCCCAAATACCATTCGGAGATTAAGTAACTTAAACTCTTCTTCCACAGGAAACTTTATTTAGAGAAGCCAAACTACTAATCTGCAAAACAAGGGATTAAAGAACTATTTAGTAGGTTGGCTCAGAAGTCTATAAATGGTGTGATTTTGAAGTTGATTTCACAGTTCTCATTGTAGCACTGATTTGCTTTAGAAAATCCTTGCAAAGATCTTGAACAGTCTTTAGATCTGATAGTTCATTTTATCTGAGAGTTAGTCTGGTAAGAGCCTCAGAGATAATTTCTGGTAGTTCAGAGAGGTTAAAGTGACTTGTTAAAAAATCTCAGAGATGTTTAATAGCCAAACAGTGCCTAGAATACAGGTTTCTCGACTCTCAGTTCAGAGTTCTATACCAAGCTTCCCTGATTAGTTTTAATATCAATAATAAATAACAATAGTAATTATTTTTGGTGAGTAGCATTAGCATATTGAATTCTAGTCTTTTTTTTCCCTTCTAGTCTTTTTTTGAGTGTATTGTTGTCTCTGCTTATATAGTTTGTAGATCTTGCTTTCCCCCTCAGCATATTGTGAACATTCCTCATCTTAAAAAATTCTTCAGAATTTGTTTCAAATAACCAACAGTATCATAGTCTAGATGTACCATTCATTTTCTTCTTGTTGGACATCAAAGGTTTTCTTTTTCTAATTTTCTGATAAATTTATGTTTACACATATATAATGCCACGTCTGCTTATTTTTTTACTTTAGACTCTCAGAAGTTGGCAATTGATCATATCATAAGTTTTCAAACTTTTTGTTTTCTGGATCCCACTCTGAAAAAATATTGAAGACCTCTAAGAACTTTTATGTGGGTTATATTTGTTGATATTTACCAAAATATAAATATCAACTGAGAAATTTTAAAGATATTTACTTACTAATTTATTTTTAAAAATAAACTCATTAGTTGTTAACATATTTATGAATAATAACCATAATTTCAAAAATAGTAGTGAGAAAATGACATTGTATTACATTTTTACATATCTCTCTCTCTCTTTTTTTTTGAGACAGAGTCTCACTCTTTTGCTTGGGCTAGAGTGCCATGGCAGCAGCCTAGCTCACAGCAACCTCAAACTCCTGGGCTCAAACGATCCTTCTGCCTCAGCCTCCCAAGTAGCTGGGACTACAGGCACGTGCCACCATGCCCGGCTAATTTTTTCTATATATTTTTAGTTGGCCAATTAATTTCTAATTTTAGTAGAGATGGGGTCTCACTATTGCTCTGGCTGGTTTCCAACTCCTGACCTTGAGCGATCCTCCTGCCTCAGCCTCCCAGAGTACTAGGATTATAGGTGTGAGCCACCACGCCCGGCCTACAAATCTTTTAATGCTTGACTTAAAAGAAGGGAGACATGTCTGCTTCTGCTTTGAACTTGTTGTGATACTTTATTTTTGTTTAAAGAATATGAGGAAACTCTTGCCTCAGACAGTTATGTAGTTGGAAAAAAGAAGAGTAACTTAATAGGCTTTTTAGGTAATTATAAATAATTCTGTTATTAAGTAAAGCATAACAAGTAGTATTTTCTTAAAGGTTAATTCCAATTTGGAAACTGAAACCATATCAAGGAACTTTTTACACTCTATGACATTACAATTTATTGGCCTATTTTGAACTTTGAATAGATCTTTTGCTCATGTGTTATTTTTATCATCATGCATTGTTCATTTGTAAAATGTTGGTTGTGAGTTATGCAAATCTTGCAAATTTCATTATACAATATAAAAAAAATCGCATTTGTTAATATCACCATTGATCTCTTCAGAAGTCTGTAAGACTTGAAGCTGTCAAGCTTACAGTTATGGATGTGAGCTTTCTAGTATTTGTGACTTTTTCCTTGAAAGCCCAAACTTTATCATTGGCAACAAATGCTATCAGTTGTTTTCCTTGGAATGACAGGCTCACATTGTTTAGTTTTAAGAAAATGTCTGCCAGATACTTAAATCTAAATAATCATACTTTCTTTGTTTATTGTTCATTCAAGTAAAATGATGTTCCATAGAAAAAGTGACTAGTTCAGCTCTCAATCACACAAGTGCTTTCCGCCGTGACAACCGTCAGACTTCGACAAGAAGTAGATGTGCTTTGTATTTACTTCCTGTTTTGTCACACAGAATGTTAAAAGAATGTGTATTCAAGGGCTCACATTTAATAAAATTAATAAGTGAACATTCTTAAGTGACAATCTTTTTTTTTTCTTTTTTTCCTGCCAGTTTGTGGTGGTGAAAAATATAGCGACTACTAGTAAAGTTATGGTGCCCTGGATTTGTGTTCAGGAGCTGGTAGTTTTACCTACCATTGTTTTTTGCACCTTAAGTACAAATGTCAATACAGGGGAAAAGGCAAATAATGTCCTATTATTTTTATAAAAATAGTAGTTTTGACCTTATAGACCCCCGTGAGAGTCTTAGGGATTCCAATAATGCACTGACCACACTATGACAGCCACTAGTTATTTCAAATCAAAGGGTGATTTTGCTTTGAAGGGTTTTGATATGTATTGACAAATTACTATCAAAATGATTATGCTAATCCTATTATCAGCATAGCATGGGAGGGTCTGTCTCTGGCAACTTTTCTAGTGTCGAGGAGAATCATTATTTAATCTTTAATGTGTTGAATCAAGAATGACATCTTATAATTAGCATTGTAAAAATTATACTTTTGTACATTTTTCCAAATATTTTTTGACCATTTAATTTTCTTCTTGAATTACTTGCTTAGAACCTTTGCCTAAGTGTCTATTGGAGTATCTGCTATTATTGTTTATTGATTTATTATTTATTGATCTGTATGTTAAAGATGTTGATCCTTTATATGTCAGATTTGTTGCATATATTTTCCCAGTTGTTTGCTTTTAAATATTGGTCTGTTTTTGATATGTTAAACTTTAAAATTTTTGCCTTTATGTTCAAGAAGTCCTTTCCTATTCTAACATATAAAAAACAAATTCTTTCACACAAATTTCTTTTACATTCTTTATGGCTTTCTTTTTATTTTTTATACTGTAAACTCAATCAAGTGCTATTTTTCTTTTTTTTTTAAAATTTTTATATCACCCTGCCTCAGCTTAGAAAGAGAAACCCACTTTTAATATAGAATCCCTTTGGCAAACGTACATCTAGCCAGAGCTTTAGGGCTACAAGTGCTTTGAGGTGTAGGTGGTAGGGAGCTGAAAGTGTCTGAATGTTCTCAAGATGTTCCTTTGCACTCTTTGTAATGAACAGCTTCCTTCAACATTACATTTTTCCACCTACCGATGTGTGTGTGTGTGTGTGGGGGGGTGGCCCTAAAAAGTGGTAAGGAGGAATTAGGGTTCTGCAGAGTATTTTTCTTAATTCTTTA